TGTGCTCTTGACTAACTTTTTAAATTCCACCAGACACTTTGCTCATTCGTTCTGTTGGGGTCAAGGGGGAGCTGCCTGGATCCGGTGTCCTTTTATGAGGCATCACATGTATTGTCAGATTGTATGGTGTAGAAATGACACCTTGCTCTCCATGTCAGTTTTCAAAAAATCTATGTTCCTATTTATTTGATTGTAGTTTCACTTGCGGTTTGGCAGCGTGTGACTGTGATGAAAGGTCAGACACTCATCTTAAGGTGCCCCCTAACCAATGCGCACAACACCTATGTGGAGTGGAAGAATCCCAAAGGATACATTATGTTCTTCAGTCACAATAGAGGTGACAATCACATCGACAACTGTATGAGCAACAACATAATTCCAATCTTTGATTCCATACATCAAGGATATTATACATCTTTTTACTTCCTCTGGCTTTTTTTCCAGCTTTAAAGGACAAGCGCTACACAATCATCAGACTGTCAAGCTCTACATTCACCATCAGTATTTCCAATGTTAACTTCAAAGATGGAGGAAACTACACATGCTCACACTATGGCACCCGCACAGAAGAGAAGAAGGTGGAGGTGACAGTGCTAGGTGAGTGTTACGTTCCTGCTACATATTCATTTGCACACTGTTCATATGCTGATACTGTATATTTATCTTTGCACTATTTCATTCAACTCATGTGACTTAACATCTTATTCCACCTCATCCCATTGCTCTAGTGTTCTATAAGCTTAATGTAATATCAGTTGTACATATCTATTGGTAAATTAGTTCTGACTGTTCATACTGTCATGGTTAGACCCCCTCACCTGGAGGATGAGGGAGAACTGAGAGGACTCAAGACTGCTGACCCAGGTGCTAGTAAAAAAAGGAGGTTTAATGGAACAAAACACAAAGTAACAACATAACAAGGGCCATGAACATACATACAGTATATAAACAGCAAAGTAGGGTAGTGGTAGTGGAGGAGACCAGGATGACCAGGGGAAAAGACAGGCTAACAGCAAAAAACAGGAGAGTCGGAGTAACAGGACAGACAGGTGAATAAACAAGCAAACCAGGAGGGTAGGCGAACGAAAACGGAAATCCACAGCACAGGAACTGTCAGCATGGACATATAACACTAAACATAGAACCAATGTACAAAATGCAATCCACAGCACAGGAACTGTCAGCGTGGAAAACAATATGACGTACAAATACATAACACGATTATAGGGCTGTTACGGGGTATGCACGTTAATTCTCCGGCGACGGTGGAGCGTCCGCCAGAGGTATAAATAAGGTAGGAGGGTGATTACAGTAATGCACCCCAGCTGTGCACAACAACCCACAAGTCACTAATTACAAAATGCGACACAGCTGAGGCGCTGATTCCGCAAAAAGAGCGAGCAGGAGAGAGAAAGGCAGAAGAGAGGCAGGTCGCACCGAGCGGACCTGACAGCAGTGGAGTTTCTATCTAGTTTGTTCAACAGGATTTTAGAGAGTGAGAAGATGCCTGAGGAATGGAGGAGAAGTGTACTAGTGCCGATCTTTAAGAACAAGGGTGATGTGCAGAGTTGTAGCAACTACAGAGGTATAAAGTTGATGAGCCACACAGTGAAGCTATGGGAAAGAGCAGTGGAAGCTAGGCTAAGAAAGGAAGTGGATATCTGTGAGCAGCAGTATGGCTTCATGCCCAGAAAGAACACTACTGATGCCATTTTTGCTCTGAGAATGTTAATGGAGAAGTA